ATGATCTGCCGCTCTTCTTCTTTGTATTAATTTGTTTTAGTTTTCTTTATATAGGCTGTGCAGGGGGAGGGGGAAGCTTTCCCATGAAGGCCATGTGGAAGTGCTAATATAGTAGGAGGCTACTTAAGAGTGCTTACACAAACCTTTCCTGCACATTCTTTAGTAGCTACTTAACCCACTTCTGGTCATATTCCATCACGATGCATTAAAGTGGTTAGGAGACTCAGAAATTACCTCCCTTTTACACCCCCAAAAAACAAGTGGTCAGTAACGTTTTGCAGCAGGAATCTACCTAGCTCTGGGTGCAGACTGCTTCCAACCTGGGTTGTGCTGCCAGAGCTGGAGCCACCAGTACCCCTGGCAGTACCATTGCTTCTCCCCCCTGCCTAGGTGAAGCCCCCAGATGCTAAAACACCATAGAAGCCCCTTGGCTCTGCAGGCTGTAGGTTGCTAACCCCTGATTTGGTAGGTACCCATCTTCCTGACAGTCTTCGGGCCATCCCAAAGGAGTTGAATACAACTTCTTTTGGTTACTTTTTATAGTATTTTGGCCTCTAAATCCATTCCTACTGGAATTCCTTCCAAGTTCACCCAGACCATTTTCAGGGTTGTATTTAATACTTAATTCTATCTCCACCTTTCCAGAAGTTGTTAAGTGTTCAATTCCCCTGATATTTAATCTTCTGGATGTTAATTGCAGTCTAAGGTCTCTAGCGAAACAGCCAGCTGCAGGCAATAGCATGTGAAATATGTCCACCCTATTACTGACATTTTGCTAGGACACAACTCCTAAAGAAAATACAGATAATTGCTTTCAGTGTTTGAAGACATGAACAGTAACAGGTAACTGAATTTCTCTTAACACTTACCTTGCTGTTCAAAATATATAACTCAGCAATACTGAATGTATGGGGTAAAGACACAACCACTCTTACAGCCATTTTCTGGCTATGGAACCAACAGCATAAATGTTTCAAGAGATGCTAGATCAGGGGTGGGCAAAATGTGGCCCGGGGGCCAGATGCGGCTCGCCAGGCCATTCTATCTGGCCTGCGGGGCCCCTAAAAAGTTTAGAAAATTTATATTAATCTGCCCTGGTCTGCCTGTCATGCGGTCCTCGATGGCTTGCCGAAATTCAGTAAGTGGCCCTCTGCCCAAAATAATTGCCTGCCCCTGTGCTAGATGAATGTTTGTAGCTTGGTTCTACGTTGTTAGCCTATGGGCAGATTTTGCAGCAAGACATCCTTATAACCTACCTAATGAAGTCTAGGACTTGTTTCAAAATAATAATAAAAAAGAAACCTATTATATTACATAACATTTGGACTACTGCAATCTGGAATCAAGTTGCTTAAGATGGAGATGGTGGGGAGTGCATTTGAGGAAGCCACTACATACCTGTTTGCTCTTTCTCTTTTTCCGTTTTCTTATTCGTGCCTTTCTTCCACTGTTCTTTGGTTTTGTTTGCTTCTTCATGCTGTTTCTGCTCAGCAAGTGATTTATTCAGCACTTGAGAGAGGACAGAATCTCCTTCCCCAACCAGAAACATGGTCTTAAACTTGTTGTACAGCATGGTAGATTTCTCCATAATAACTTGGCTAACCTTGAACTTTCGTATCTGAAGATTCACAAATGAAACGTAACCAGACCTATATGCATATCTGCTTTTTAATTTTTTTAAGTTATGCTCATCTTCCTTTATTAAAGGATACATAAATTGCTTAATCCAGTAAAATTCATTCAGAATTTTAAAAGAAACAAATTTTTTTTTTCACAAACTAAGATAAATAAGCTTAAAAACAATGGCTAAAAAACATAATCCATTGAACTTTTGAAAGTTTTTAGGGTAAAGCAACATCTTACTTTCTTGAGTGTCAGAATCATCTCTGTGTGCTTCTGAGCTTGTTGCATTGTGACTTGAAGTGAAGCAAGCTCATCTAGGGCCTCAATGCATCTGTTCACATCCTATACAAAAATGAAGCAGTTGGTTTCAACTTTTAACTTTTGGTCCAGGATTGAAT